GGCAACCAAAAGTTGTATGTGTGACTAGTATGTACTCTCCAAATATGTATACGAGATGCTATAAACGCATATTGTAAGTTAACTATAACCGAATAAAAGGAGCCGGCCAAGAGGCCACCTTAACACCAAAAAAAAAAAAAAAAAGAATATAACTACCTAAATTAGATTTCTCTTGCATATAAAAAATTCTAAATTGCTCTAATGGAGACGAAATAGGATTTTTTTAAAACCCTATTTTGGTAGCATGTATAATATAAACTAATAAAAGACAGTACAAATACAAGATAAGCTCCCAGGCTGTATAAATCTAGAAAATTGCAAATATAGAAGCCCACTTGGCAAGTCCTAAGTAGAGAGGTAGTACAGATCTTTAACAGAGCTACTGTAAAGTTTAGATCCAGAAAACAGAATCTATATAAACTAAACTAAGTGAAATACAAGATATTAGGGTTGTGCCCACATCAACCAGACTGCTACAAATAGGAAAGAAAATCAGGAATTTAGCTAGAGAATATTTGCAATTGTAGGCAAGTTGTGGCAATAGTGAGAGATTTACTAGTTATTCTTTGGGGTATTTGTCTAGACACAGAGGAAAAATATATGGTACTAGGCTATCTAGCTTAGAAGTCAAGAACCAGGATTGGAGTCTCTGCTATCGACAAATAGATAAAATCACCAATACCAACTAGGCTGATATTGAATCAAAGGAAAATAAGTGATTATATACCAAGTTATTTGAATTGGAAGTCTAAATAAAGGAAGCTAGATTACTAAAGTACTAGAGATATATCTTAAAGTAAGTTTTAAGGTCTGAGTAAACTCTACAATAGCAGAAGTAGATTTGGATAGCAGAGTTTAGCCAAACTGGTATTAAATCATAAGTTTAAAAACTAGAAAAAAACTATAGACAAAGATCTTAACCCAGTGCTACTCACACTAAAGGTTGGAACCGGTTTTAATAATTCGAGTTTATCACGTAAATTTTGTGATATTTTAGAATTTATTAAAATTTAATTAGATTAAATTCTAAAATATCACAAAATTCATATGATAAACTCGAATTATTAAAACCGGTTCCAACCTCTAACCTATACTCTCAGAATAGATAAAAACTGAGCTGCAAATAGTAGGCTACAATCTATGCATACCAAATTAAAGCATAGGTTAGATGCAATATAAAGTAAGAATACTGCAAGTTCTGCCAAATTTATCTCGATAATAAAGTAGTTCTAAGTCAGTTATATAAAACAAGCATCTATAAGACTAGTTCTTAGAACTGGAGAAAGAATGCTAATTGATATAGACCTTGAAGTATATAGACGCAGAGTTTAAATGAGTAACCTCCTAGTTAGTGTTATAGGTATAGCAAATAGTGTAAAATCTAGTAATAGGCAAACTACTTAAATAAATATTCAAAAGATACAGATATGGCTAAATATACTCTCCAAATATGTATAATAATATCCTAATACAATAAAAGTACAACATAACTAAAAATCATCCTAAAACTGAAAAAAAAAAAATAATAATTTATCTTATATATATTAGATATAAGATTCTTGAAGCAGGTATTTTATTCTTTAATAATGAAGTAAGAGAATTAAAAAGTTATTTTGACCTTCTACACCAAGTATATCTCTTACACCAAGCAAATATTATGAAGATAGTAGTACTAATAATTATTAAAGCAACAAAAAAGTTAAATCTGTTAATACTATCAGTTTTTACAACTGTTAAATAATTGTAGTATAATAGATTTAAAGAATAAAATAAACAATATTTGCTTCTCCAGTATCAACAAAATGAAAGCTAATACCACAACTAACAATGCTAGTACCAATATCTCCATCACTGAAACTAATATCAACTCTACAAGCAATAAACAAAACAAAAGAAAACAGAAATAAGAAGATGATAGAAATAATTAACAAAAACTATTAGTTTCTTCTGAACCATCTGGTAGTTATTCTAGAAGGCTATATGAAATATTAAAAAATATGACAAAGATCAGTATAAATTGTTTTATATAGATATATAAATATTACCAAGTAAAATTGAATAGTATTTATTTAGTAGTATATATATTTAAAGTAATAATAGAGCTATCAGTTTGCTGAATATTTATTTTATATGTAGAATAAAGTACTTCAAATATTGGATAGTCTTAATGATAATTTATATTTAGATTATACAAAAAAATTGAGTCAAATAGCTCATTATATGTCCAAGCATACTATACTTGCAATTGGAAAAGCTTTAAAGAGTAATTTTAAATATAAATTTAGTAAATTAAAGAATGTTTTCAAAATCATCATCTACTTTGACAAGAAAAATAGATAATTAATTTAGATCCTAAAAGATCAGTATCTGATAAAAAAAAAGAATAAACAAAAGATATTAATTGATAAATATAGATCTATTCTTTATATGAAATCAAACTATAATAACTAAATATAATCTTGGTTATATATGTTATAATTTTTAATAGTCATTAGCAAATTTAAAATGATGTAATATTTCAAAATAATTTACAATCTGTAATAAAACTATAATATTATATAATAGGATTTATTTATATATACCCTAAGGTACATATACCCTATCACGTGCTTTTATATTATTATATTTAAATATTGCATAACAATTATAACTAATACATATAGATATATAGTAATTACGGTTAGATATATATAATATAACTAAGACAAGCTCATACAAGCATATAATCTACTAATTTCTAAATATGTATAAACTCTAACTCTAATGTAAATACTTTTATATGTATTTATTTTGGAGAACAGTCTCAAGAATATATAGCACTTATAGAAGCAGTTTAATTAGTATATGTATATGCATAGTTTAATATTTTAGACACGAAAAAATTTTCTATAAGCTCTGCATTCCTTATATTAAAATCCGATTAATGCGAAACGATATAAGTAAATTAGTTATACATCCCTATAATGCGTTTTGTCATGTTTTATTTGCATCGATCAAAATATGTATATATATACATACAAGACCTGACTAAAGTAAATATATAGCAAAATAGCATGGTATGGAAACACACATTAGGACAGATGTGTGGAAATTATAATACCCTAAAACAAAAAAGACCATCTTGTGCTTGCCCTAACACTAACCACTAACAAAAAAATTGAACGTTGCCAATCTACATAAACCATACGAACTGTTAAAAATTAAATATAATTTCGTACGTATATCCAAATCTGTACTGCCATACAGTACTATTTTATTGAATACCTGGCCCTGTTACTAAGATTAATATGCTTTTGAAATCCTATATGAATAAAAATTATACAGTATAATCGAATGAATTGAATATTCATAGTTAAAAAATTCCCACTTTTAATAGCCCGTGAACTTCTGTAAGCTTGAAATTACTCACTACAATGGTATTTACTTGTGTATTTTTAGAAGATACTAGTGTAATTATTTCGATATTACACAACTGACCCGGTGGTCACTAAAGGGCTGAGAATTTTAATAACAGAACTGATACAGGATTATTAATATGTAACAATTTAAATCTCAATTCATTTTAGAACAATTGATGCTATACAACAATTTTGAACATATGAACTTTATTTGAGTGTTACAAGAAAACCTAAAAATAATGTTAGACAGAATTTTTAGGTTTTTTTTAAGTTACTTATTCAATATAAATAAGGAACACCTTGTCGTTTGTGCCACGCTTCGCAACCAGCTTTGTTATGACCGGTATTCTGACACTGTTGGCATTGAGTTGGCTTCCTAGACTTTTGTGCATTTGAATGTTTTTTGATACTAGGCTTTTTTTTATCATCTAATTCATGGGACCCTTAAACCATTTTCTCTTTAGAGCACCTCTTCTAGCATGAACTACTGGATCTTCAATTTCTATGAAATTTTCTTTGTTACTAAAGCTGCAATTCGAAGTGGTCTCGTCATCCTCTTTCTGTTGTATTTTACTTTTCTGTGGATAACTTTTTTTTTTTTTTTTTGGTGCATACTTGTTGATAAAGTCATTCATGAATTCTTCAAGTTCTTTTATTGCAATAGCACCAGCGTCTAACCCAGTTTGAATGGCTTTTTTTAACAATCCATTGACTGTTACATAGAATTTGCGGTAATTAATTTTAGAATGAATATCGCTAAAAGAAATATTCGGCAAATGAAATAATAAATCAGGAAAAGATTGTTCAGTATGAATTAAATTTTTTGTACTGTCCAATCCAATAATGAAAGGATGTAAAGATATTTGAGTTTCCGATTCAACTTGTTTTTCATTATTATACCATCTCTTTGAAATAAGTATGATGTGAAATGTGGCATAATTTGAAGCAGTCATGACTTGAAAAAAATGTCTACAAACCAACCCGCATTGAATTAATCCTAGACATGTACATAAATGTGTATTGTCTTTGAACAATACAACATAATTTTTAGTTTTACGTCTGTACCAAGTAACCTCCCATATTTCAATAATAGATTCAACTTTCGTAGGTGGTATTAATTTACTAAGTAAAATAGCAGGTGCATTAACAGCATCTTCAATAAACATATCAAGCACCTCTATTAAATCAAACTGTTTAATTGAATTAGATAATTCAGTTGAATTGGATTGTTCAGTTAAGTAGGATTGTTCAGTTGAATCGGATAGTTCAGTCGAATTAGATAATTTAGTTAAATTGAATTGCTCTTCAAAATTGTCAATAAGGCATGATGTGTACCAGATAGCTTGAGCAATCTCCTGTCGTTGTATAGACAAGGAGGCTGGTATTAAATAGATAGTAATCAATTGATCAATTTCTGGTGAAATTCAGAACTAGTGTGGGTAAGTGTAGACCTCATAATAGAATGAATCCAGTTTTTGTATTGAACATAAGTAGATGCTCGATCAATTTGTTCGTCAATATGCTTAACAAGATTTATTAAAGATGTGCTGCTATTTACTGAATTTTTAATTATGGTGTTTTGACCTTCAACTCTCTGTGTGGATTGCATTCCAGCATTAAAGACCTTAGAGGTGTAACAAATAGCCCAACGCTCTTTTTCATTAAAAAGAGCATGATTGAGATACGAAGTAGCATCAGGAAACTCCACTAAAAATTTATTCCATAAATAATAAAACCATTGACATGAAGAAGAATTTCGCATTTGGTACCATTTTTTGGAAAAATCGTTATATCGTTCTCCTATTCTGCCTTTCAAAATTTTAATTAAATTCTGTCCTATGTAGAATATACAATAGATGTGATACGTGTTAGGTAATACATTGGCAATAGCAGTATTAATAACAAGATCATTGTCAGTAATTATTGTTAAAGGCGCAGTATTTGTATTTGAAATTAGGTTTGCAATACCTATTCATAACTTTCAACCGTTTCATCATTTATAAGGGCCTGTCCTACCAAACAAGACCGGTTATTATTATCTACTACAACAAAGAAGCCCAGCACCATCTTAAAATGGTTTGTTGAATAAGTGTTATCATGTTGGACAACGTCTCTGTATCAGATATACAGATCATATTGGTCTGGTGATATCCAAAATAAAGATGCAAGAGAGTTATTTGTATGATCAACCTTCTAGTCTATAATCTACCTAGTGTCTTCAGCTTTATACTCTAAAAGATGATTAAGTAAAGTAGCCGCCTCACATTCAACACGATTTTGTTATTTAAAGGTCTGAATAACATTTGAGAGGTCTTGAGGCAAAAAGAAAATATTTGGATATTGACTTGTCAGCATTTGATACTGCGTCCTCATACTAATATTACTAATCTCAGTCTAGAATTTAATGTCTTTTAACATGCTCTCAGAAAATACCCGGTATTTTAACACGAACCTATTGGTTTCATCCTTTATTGGATGATCATTATGATCCAGACAAAGGGAACTGATGCTCAATATACTTGTTGTTTTTGGACAACTAGCACGAATGGCCCAATGACATCCAGTACGTTTACTTCATGTCTGTCGTTGGTTCTCAGCGATATTAGTCTTGTTTTTTGCATCGTTATGACCTTGATGTTCACAAGCATATCGATGAATTCGACAAACTCCCTTATCATATTCAGATCCATGTATAACACTAACAAAGTTTTGAGTTTTTGCATAAAGAGAAATAAAGAGATCCAATTCCTCCCAATCACGGAATATTTGTCCAACTACTGGAGCGTCTATTGCTTCAGCCAAATTTTGGTCACTTGTTATTTGAATTTTTAATTAGTTGAGAGATGAATATAATATTTTATCAAGTTAAAAAAGGTTAAAAGGTTTAACATACCTTTGTGAAATATTAACAAGTTGCTCTTCAGCTGGTCTGGAATTATCTTCGCTTTCCATTTTTGTAAAAGGCAACTCAAATGAGTTTTTTTTCAATCTAAAACATGTATCTAAAATCGGTAAGTTTCACAGGATTAAAATACTATAATCTTATTTAAACCTTTCATAATAATGATAAACAATACATCTATACAAGTATTGGTACATACCAAATTTTAATAGCATGCCACTAAAATTTGGCTTACGACGACAACTCTAATTACAGGTTTCCAAGACCACCAACGTATCCGCGAAATAGGTATGTCCTTTTAACACCTATTGTAGTACTTGTGTATTAAAACTGTTTAACCCGAAGAATAAAATTGAAAGCTAGTATTTGCGTTTGCTATGAGCTTTTTTTTTACAAGAGAGAAAAGCTTTTTTTAGCTTTGTCTCTTGTTCGTATTTATGTCCAATAGCAATTTACGTCATTTGTTTACTACGTATTTAATTTATTATCCACGATTTATTCTCCGATGCATACGATTGTAATTGTTGGTTATGTTGTATAACATACGATTAACAAATTTGTGACAGGGTACATAAAATTTTAATATACCCTAAGGATACAAATAAATTAATTCTTTAATAAATATTATTATAAATTTCAAAATAATTTTTATAATATTTTCTGAATTTATAAGAGTTTTATATATTGCACAGCTTAATAGCTAAATATTTTCTCAAATATTATATAAAAGAAGCATAAATATTTTAACTTTATATTTTTTTTATCTATTTGTTTTAACTATATAAAAAATTTGCAAAAAAAATCTTCAAACTCATAATCAAATATGTTTCTATATGTATCTATTAACTGCTTGTAACTATTTTGCTATTTATTTAGACCACTTCAAATTGATTTTTTGTTTAATATAATATTAAATAGTTTATAAGAATAGAGGTGAGAGAGTAAAAAAAATATACAAATTAAAAAAAATAGTAATTTTATTAATTGATTTAACATATATTAGTTATAAATTTATAAAATTTAAAAAATTAAAAGATAAATATTATTAATTACTATTAATAAGTATTGGGTTTATATAAAATTTAAAAAATAAGAGGTTATATTAAACAAAGAATTAAAAGTTTAAAGAGTTTTAAAATATCTTTGTTAGTTGGTAGTTTATTATATGATATTGAAGTATTAAAGAAATAGTTAGATTAAAACACAATTATACCTTTATTATTATATACTTATTCAAATTATTAATGCTTATTATTAATCAGAGTTTATTTAGGCAATAATATAGTTCTATCAGTATATACGTCATACTTGCCAGATAGCAAAAAATTATTTATTGTAGCAGATTAAAATAAAATCAGATTAAAATGAAATAAGCAATAGTGTAAAATAAACAAGCTATCAAAAAATACAAATTTTTTGGATATATTTTTTTAGCATTTTTTAGGGTTAAAATTAGGGTTTAGAAAGCAGATTTTATAATAAACAAGTATAAATAAGTTTTAGAGTGTTAAATAGAAACTCACATTTTATTTTAATCGGATTTCATTATGATTTGTGACATTTATTATATTAATTAATTAATTAATTTTAGCTTAAACTTTTAAAGTTAACAAAATCTGATATATAAACTTGTTTTATATAATCTATATAATATAATAAAAATTAACAATTATTCTGAAAAGACCTTGCTTTACTAATGAGCATAAATAATAAAAGTAAAAACAATAAAATGATGTAAATTATATAAAGATTACTAAATGAGACTTTAATTAATAAAATAATAATTTGTTAAAATTTTGTTAAATTGCTATTTTCAAGCAAATTTGCACAACTCTTTCTAACAATCACTTGAACCAACTAGTACCAAAAGCAAGTTGAAAACTCAAGGCCAGAAGTTAACAACAACTTGAAGTTTTCTTGATACGAACTGTTGTTGACAAAGTCTCTAAACATAATATACTGAAAAGCAGATATTTTGAACAGTTTGCAAAGAGGTCAAGTCTTGTTATTTGTTATTTTTAAATAAACTCTTTTTTGCACTTAGCATCCAAACTGGAGAAGTCTCTGAGAACAGCAAGTAGAAAAAAAAACTCAGGAAATTTGGAGACCGAAGGATATAACAAACTTTTGAAAAATTTTTTTTTATTAGAAACTCACAAAATCAAAACTCTTCTTGCCACTTTGATGCTCCTAAAACCAATTTTTGACAAAAAATAGAGAATTAAGTTACTCTTGTCAAAAGATCAGCATTGTTTACTACTTCTATATTTGGTGACTCTGTAATATAAATACAATAAACATGTAGCTATATAGAAAAATATTTATTTCTTATTTGAAAATAGCCACAAATATCAAGGATTCAAAAGGTTTTTAAAGACTTATATATCAAGTAGATAAGGTAAGACAAGATCTCGAACAATCTATAGACAGATAAAATTTTAGTTTGCTTATTTTAGACTATTTTTTGTTGATCTTTTTTTGCAGATCTTTCTATTTTTAGTAATTTTTTCAAATTGTTAGCTATTTGTAAATTGTTCAGAGTCCTGGCAAGACTCTAAACAATCTACAAATAGCTAACAATTTGCAAAAATTACTAAAAATAAAAAAGTTTGCAACAAAAAGCCCAAAATAAGCAAACTAATTACTATAAATAAAAAAGATCAACAAAAAATAGTCTAAAATAAGCAAACTAAAATCTTACCAGTTTATAAATTGTTTAGGGTCCTGATGAGGTGATATAGAGAGAATACATGAAATTAATATATTTGTTATATATTAGAATAGAATATAGATTTAAATTAAAGTTAAAGCAATAAAAAGAATATGAAATATACAGTCTAGTATTTGACCTGGGTGGGTCTTACTCGGGTTACCTATAGGGTCAAGCTTTTTGGACAGTAGACTCCTCAAGATATTTGGCATCCAAATCAGAAGAGTATTCTAGAAACTGAACTTACCTCTAAACAGGTTGCTGTCGATGAAACTTGAAAGACGTGAAATATCAAGAAGCGGCCATAACTTAAGTGGTTTTTCTTGGGGTTAAACTTTCTTCTTGGTAGACTCCTCAGGATATTCAGCATCCAAACTAGAAGATTATTCTAGGAGCAAGTAGTGGTACAGCCCTCGCTGAGATAGTATAATCTTGTAGAACCAACTATACAACTGTAAAACCTACAGAAGAATCTCATATACTTTCATTATCCCCACTATTTTTTTCAAGGAAAATTTTGTAAAAAGTGGGTGATCCAGTTTACCCTTCCAAAAGATCGATGTATTGTTTACTTTTCAAATCGGGTAGCATTGTTTACTTTTTTACCTATCACAACAAACATGTAGATACATATGGAGTAGTAGACTGATGATTACATGCCTCGAATGTGTCGATCTGAACAAACAATGCTCTAAGCCTAACAGTGTGATTTTCTGACTTCTCTACGGTGCCAATTGTCAAAGAAGCTTTCTTTTTTTGTTTTTTTTTATATATATAAATTAGTGTAGAGAATAGTTTAGATAGTAGTATAGAATTTTTAAAGAGCCCGACATAGGCTTATAATTGTAACCATCTGGTGTGGGTAAAAAATCCTATGTTTAGTTTAGTTTTTTCTTATTTTCCCTTACCCCTTTCTTTTCTTTTATTTGTTTTTTTTTTACGCATTTCTCTATACCTCTGTATTTCTTTTATATAAGTTTTTTCTTTTTTTTTCACTTCTCTACTAGAAGATGTCATCAGATTGGCGATATTCTATTATAGAGCAGTAGTCGAACGAGCCCCAGTAGGATATTATCTTAATTGATCGTACTTCTCTGGTGCGGCATGGTCACCTG